TCCACCCCCAAACCATAGCACAGTGGCTTCAATTAGGATAAGGCTTTGGGGTGCTTTTCTTCAGCTGAAATGCAAAGGGGACAATGAAGGACGAGTAACAACCCCTATATTACAGTATGATGGCCGCCACATTACATCACCTAATGGTCTTGGGGCTACCCTAAACCTTGACAACCCGAAACAACTCCAAACCCAACACCCTATAAACCCTACGCAAACCCCCGAAAACCCTGAACCCTAAACCCTGAACCCTTAACCGGGCCTTTGTCTTTAGGGTTTTTTAGATCCCAGCGAACTGTCGGTTCCAAACCAGGCTCGCGCGCTGGTTGCAAAAGCGCTCGGTTTCGGGTTTAGGGTTTGAAGGTTTAAGAATCTGCAAGTAACTCAGACAAGTCCTCTGCCAAGCAAGACTTAAATTGGGGATTGATCCAACCCCCAAGCCCCAAATCCCAATCAAACCCCTAAACCCCGAAGCCCAACAAAACTCTAAACCCACACGCCCTGAATCTAAAACCTGAGTGCTGGACGCGGCTGCTGCAGGGGACTCGGCACCTTTCGGGTGGGGGGGCGGGGGAGGGGGGAGGGGGAACTGCCAGGACATGTTTGGGGTTTCGGTTTTTTTTTTAGGGTTTAGGGCTTCGGTACGGAGAGGCCTCGACAGTTAGAACAGGGTTGCAGGGTACATCTAGGTTCCCCAGTAACCCCTTGGGGTACCTTGTTTCTTAATGTTTGGTTTTAACAAGGGGACCACAAAATAAAAAGGGCAAAAGAGTACTGCTGGGGGAACCTAGACATTCTACCGTCATTAAAAATTCGGAAACCCCAAGGAATGGTTAGGATTAATCGTGGTAACGGCTCAGGCTCCTAGAGTAGGGTTTAAGATTGCGCTGCTTGTTTGGATCCTCCCGCACGCTTTACAAGGGACCTGGCCCCAAATCGTAGGTATTTAGGTTGAAACCGAAAGTGCATGGTTGGTCTCGTTACTCTTCAGGTCGACTCCCAGGCTTGTTTTATTTAGGGCCGAGGGTTCGTGAAACCCTGAGGTCTTAAGCCCATTTCGACAACCACATGGCAACAGCAGAAGAGAGCATAAAGCATATAAAACCTGAAGCCTATGCTTACTGAAGCTGAAAGACCCAAGAGAAAATCACCAGAACCGGGCCTGGAAGTGGCGCGTCGAAGAAGTCGGGTGGGAGCCCCGCACTGGCCTGCCACCCGGCTTTGTCGGTCGGCGGAGGCTAAGGGGTGCATTTTTTAGAAGGAAGTGATTGCAGAGTCTTGCAGATTCTTTCATATATATGCTTGCTTTGAGGATTGTATCTAAAGGGGGTTTCAAAGGGCTGTGATATGACTTATCTCCAGTCTTATGCGGCTACATGGGGCTATTGGCGGAGTGGCGCTTCCGGATTTTTACGGACTTCATGGGGGGCATAGGGTCGAGGGCGAATGTCACTTCGGGGGTTGGTCTGGGGGCTTTAGGGGTGTAGATCTTTAGAGTGATGGCGCTGATGACAATGATGATGATCATCACCAACATCAGCGTCATCATGTCCATGTGGATTATGATGGTGACGGTGATCATGACCATGATTAGAGTAAGATATAATAATGAAGACGATGGCGCTGATGATGGCTTCCAGGGGGACTAGCACGGTTCCTATCATTACCCCAATGACCCTTCTTCTTGCTACTGCAGTGTTGTCCTCTTGCTCTCGTTGCTACTACAAGTACTATGCTGTCATACTCGTCTGTCTTAGTTGTCGGGGAGCACGGTGCTTTTGCTCCTCCTCCTCCTGTTCTTCCTGTTCTGTTAGCCTGCATATAGTATGATTTTCCGCAACGGCTCGAATCCAAAAACAAGGGACACATAAATCGGCACTGCAGGAGGTTTCTACGAGGATCCTGACATGAACTTCCAAACACCTCGGCAATGCGTTTCCTTAGGGTTCCTTGAGATACTCGTGGTATAGAAACCGCCCACATACTTCTCCAACTACTCAAGTCTTTAGGGTAGCACCTTTTCGCTGGGGGTCCGGGCTGTCTGCTGTGCTGCAGCAACCTGCTCTGAGGTGGGCGTGGCCTCAGCCCGGCGAGATGAGGAACGATTTAGGTAGGGACTAGGGCTTCGGGTGTAGGGTTTTGGGTTTAAGATTTAGGTAGGGGTTAGGGCTTTGGGTTTAGGGTTTAAGATTTAGGTAGGGATGAGGGGTTAGGGTTTAGGGTTTACCCCCCAAATTGGGGTGTAGGGTTTAGACACTATAGGGTCCAGGATTTAGGGGCTTTGTGGGGGTGTTCGGAAGAGCTGCGGAAGGGCCTCACAGGGACTTAGGGGGTTCAGGGTCGGGGATTCATGGTCTTAGTGCTTCGGCATTTAGGAGCTCAACCGCTTTTTGCAAAAACAGCTTAGGGTTTAGGGTTTAGGGCTTCGGGCTTAGGCACTGTTAGGACAACACAACAAATCTGAAGCCCTCAGAGAAAGACAAGCTCCGGGCCCCTCCTAAGGCAGCGCGCAGCGCCCGCTCCACGTTCTCCGCCGTCGCGGCGACGCCCATGGCCTCAGCTATTTCCGCAGGTAGGTAAGATTTCGGAGCTTTGGCGTTGAAGTGTAGAGGGCATGTCTTTGTAAAACATTCGAAGCCTCGACACCTGAAACAAATAAACCTGTCTCTAAACATTCATACCTACAACAAAACGACGCTGAACCCCCATCCTCCCTCCCAACCACCCTGAATGATAACAAACAAAGCAAACCCAGGGAAAAGCTATAGTTGGGAAAGACACATATGTGTATATGTATGTATGTACACATACGAGTATATTTAAAGAGGGAGAGAAGGTTCTGCATTTCTCCGTTTATGTACGCATTGAACCATTTGGCTCAATGTGGGTTCCCTCACGTTACTCTAGCTATTAACTTAACTTGACGTAATTGCGCATACTTAACTGCACGTCTGCACGTCTACTCACATTTTCCCTGAACCGACCCGTGCATTCAAAAAACAAAAGACACATTTCATCCATCGGCCTTCAGGGCAGCGCCAACGACCTCCGGAGGTGGGGAACCTCAGCGGCTTGGAGTTTTAGGAAGGATCTTTTGGGACCCTAACGCCCTAAAGCCAAAAAGTCACAAACCGCCCCAAAACCCTACAGCCCCAAACCCCCCAAACCCTAAACTCCAGAAACCCCAAAAACCCGAAAAACCGATGAGGGCTTGGGGCTTGGGGTTTTTTGGGCCCGTCGCCTGCGCCGGGCCCGGCCGTGCGGAGCAGCGCCTCCACAGCGGCCTCTGGGCTCAGGGCCTGGGATCTCACAATAACTAGGGTTTAGGGGTTATAGGGTTTAGGGGTTATAGAGTTTAGGGGTTATAGGGTTTAGTGGTTATAGGGTTTAGGTGTTTAGGTGTTTAGGGGTTTAGGGTTTAGGTGTTTAGGGGTTTAGGGTTTAGGGTTTAGGGTTTAGGTTATATTAGAAGGAGAGCCTTTGAAAAAAGGCTTCTGTTTTAAAAACCTTTTTTCATAATACAGAGATATATTATGCGGAATGCTTCCGATTATCTGAAGTCTCCAAACTAGTATCCTCGAAATGCGGTTCTCTGCTTAGCTTTTTTTGGCTTTGGGCTCTTCGGGTTTAGGGCTTCGGGGTTAGAGTTTCGGGCTTGGGGTTCAGGGCTGTTGGGTTTAGG